TTAATCACTTTACAGTTTCTGAGCGTATAATGTTTCCTCGTATAGATCTACTGTCAGAAACTGAGCCAAGTCTGGTTAATGACGAGAAGACGTTTTCATCAATCCTCTGTATATTTTAGATATAGTCGTAAGTCTTGTAAACACTTCAGATTCAGAGATTCTTTATTGTCGTTCGCAGCTCATGTGGTGCAGCGAAGTTATGTTCACAGGGTCCCAGTTACATCCAACAATAAAATGTAAATGAAAAACAGTAATAACATCTAAGATATGAACTAAGAAAAACCTCAACTAAATATTTAATTTACCTTATTAAACTGAAATTATTCAAATCCTTTGATTTGTTAGTTTTGTTCATTTAATATAACAGTTTTATTTAATCTCGGGAACAAAAGCATAATTTGAGTCACTTTTCTTCAAAAACAGAATGGGTTGTGTGACTTGACAGTCAATTGTTAAAAATGAAAACTACCGGTGTGAGTTTACACTTTGAACCCAACCTGAGAGAGTTGTTTTCAAACATCTTCTGAACCCGTACGACCGTGGATGCTCGTCCTAAAAGGATGAGCAAGGCACTAAAAAACTGTAGAGCAAAAATTGATACACAAATGGTTTGAAGAGCTGCTAATTAAATTAGTTATGTTCATTTCATATTCTTGTAACAAAGTCCCGTTTTCATCCATCAATAATTAAATGAGCAGTATCCCGATGCATGCTTAGTAATCCAGGTATCTCACCCTCTGGATCACAAGTTAGGAGTCATCAGGACTCTGTACCACAGAGCAGACAGTGTCCTCACTAGCTCAGGAGCCAGACAGAAGGAGAAATCCCACACAAGACAGGCTCTAGAGCAATGTGGATATCCTAACTGGGCCTTCCTGAAAGCAGAGAAGAAACCCAAACAGGACTCCAGTCAGCCAACAGGTGAAAAGCAGGAACCCAGACCAGTGGCCATTCCATATGTTGAGGGAGTATCAGAGAAACTGAGACGTTTATTTTCTAAACACAACGTCACAGTGGCTTTTAAACCCAAAAATACATTACAGCAAAGACTGGTCCATCCCTAAGATCCAGTCCCCCGGCACAGAGTAATATTGTGTATGTTGTTCGGTGTCAAGAGGGTGATCAGTCTTACATCGGGGAAACTAAACAGCCACTGGCCAAAAGGATGGCCCAGCACAGAAGATCAACATCATCAGTCCTGGATTCTGCAGTCTACACTCATTTCCAGGCCAGCGGTCACTCTTTCAGGGATGAAGATGTTCACATCCTGGACAGAGAGGAACGATGGTTTGAGAGAGGAGTAAAGGAGGCCATCTTTGTGAAATATACGTCAGATCTAGCCTGGTAACACAAGTGGTATTTACAAAATCAGTACCTAAACAATTTGAAATCTTGGCCCTTATCATACCACCACATCTGAAAGCCTGTTGTCTTTTATGCAGTTTTTATATAATCTACATCCCAATGAAATGGTTCTGGTAGGTGATTTTAATTTAGATTGGCTCTCTCCTGTGTCTGAGGAATTTAAAGAATTTCGTTTGTCTTCAATTCTTCAATCATTGATAGTCCCACTCGGCCTAATCCAAAGTGCCCTGCCAAATCATCTCCTGGATCTTATCATCACAAACATGTCACATTAATACACTGGGTTTGGTGTTTTTACAAATTATCTAAGTGACCATTGTGTAATTGCTGCTATTAGAAATACAAAAATGCCTCGTTTTAAACCTAGAACGATTCTAAAACAGAATATGAAACATTTTTGTGAACAAGCCTTTCTTTGGGATCTGTTCTACTTTGACTGGCATCACATATCATTAGTTGACAATGTGAATCTTGCTTGGAACCATTTTCATAATAGTTTCATTCTTTTAGTAAATAAGCACGCTCCACTTTGCCAGCTCAGAGTAAAGGGCCGGGATAGCTCCCGGTTTACTTCTGAGCTGACCTCTTGCACAGGACGGACCAGCTTTGGGCAACAGCAAGACAGACTGGTTCGGACACCCACTGGTTGCAATTTCGTCAGTTATGGAATCGCTGTACAGCTTCCATTAAAGCAGCAAAACACAACTACTATTTATCTCAGACCACCAAAAATCTAAACGCTCATAAGAACTTCTGGAAAACTATTAAATATCTTGATGGCAGCACTCACTCATCTGACCTACCACCACAACTATTTGTCCACTCTGCTCCTGTGTCAGATAAGTATGAGATGCTAAATTGTTTCAACAAGCATTTTATTGCCTCCAGTTCCTTGTTTGATACAGTTTCTAAAGGTAAATCAACTACTCCACCAACAAGACAAAGCTCAGTAAACCATACATTCTCTTTTTCACCGTTCTCTGTCAGTGAGGTTACCAATCTGTTAAAAGATTTGGATACTAGAAAAACTGCAGGCCCTGATGACCTCCCTCCTTACTTCTTAAGTCTAGCTGCACAAATTATAGCAGAACCGGTGTCTTACATTTTCAATCTGTCTATACAACATAAAACAGCTTTTGTGCTGCCATTATTGAAGGGAGGAGACCCCACTATACTGAACAATTATCGACCAATCTCCAAACTCTGTATTTTAGCTAAGGTTGTTTAAAAGCAGATAAATACTCAAGTCAAGAAGTATTTGGACTCTTTTAATAGTTTATTTTCTCTCCAATCTGGCTTCAGGAAACAATATAGCACAATGACTGCTTCGCTAAAAGTTTTTAATGATGTTGTTGAAGCTTTGGACGCTAAGGATTATTGTGCTGCACTTTACTTGGACCTGTCCAAAACCTTTGATGCTGTTTTTTCATGACATTTTATGCCACAAGCTCTCAGATATTGGCTTCTCAGATCAGTCCAGGACTCTGCAGTCTACAGTATCTGCAGGTCACAGTTTCTACTGTCACCAGCAAACTAGTTCATCCATTTTGCAAAGGTGCTATTTATAAGTCTGAGTTTATTGTAGCTCCTCAAACTGAGGAAGTCTTTTGGATAAAAGACGAAACATTTCAACAAGAATCCAAAAAAGTTCAATCTGGTCCTCTGGACATTCAAAAAAACAAAAGCAAAACAAAGCAAAAAAAATCTAGAAACGTTTCGTCTCTCTTTTGCTTTGTTTTGCTTTTGTTTTTTTGAATGTCCAGAGGACCAGATTGAACTTTTTTGGATTTTTCTACCTGGATTATTGAGCATGCATCAGGATATTTCAACAAGAAGAATCTGTCCAGAGAGCCTGACTTAACCTTGTTAGATAAATGAGCAGTCTTTCTTCACTATATTTGGCCATTTTATGAATGGGTACACAAAAGTCATTTATGGTAAAAGTTGATTGTTTATGGTTATTTTTACCATGAAACTGCAGTAAAGACAAGTAACGCGGTTTACTGAAGACAAAAACACATTGTACTTTGTACCTAACATGGCACATTAAGAGGATTTTAAATCTAAAATTACAAAAAGACCCTTTAATTTTGCTAAAGGTATCCATCTGCAGTAACTTCTTAAACCTAAGGGCCAAAATTATACAATTCATAAATTGCAGTTGCGGGCCGCAAAAAAATCATTCAGAGGGCCGCAAATGGCCCGTGGACCGCACTTTGGACACCCCTGTTTTGTATTTATTTAGTCACTATCTTCTTTCCATTTTAGCTACAATCTGACATCGAAAACATCCCCTCAAGTTTTTATTTCACAGTCAACGGGTGAGTGATCTGGGACGTCCTGAAAGGAAGGTGAGCACAACCAACAGAAATATTATCTGCTCTCTTATGATGGAGAGGGATCAGTGTTTGTCACTGTTTCAAACAAAATACTTTGAAACGGTTTTCCTTGCAGATGTCAGGAATGTGCATTAGAATATTTGCACAATGGAACCCCACCTCGTCCGGTGCTTTATGCCGGTGCTGAACCCACAGAGGCTGCGACTCCGGCTAAACTTGACCTTTTTCCTTCTTCTCCATGTGGTTCTCCCCATGTGACTGAGGGAAACCCAGTCCAGCGAGTCCTCTGGGTTCCATCACTCCTCAGCCAGAGATGCCAGGTGGAACGGAGCCGGATCCAGTTACAGCAAGAACATTTCAACTGGGTCTGTGCATGATAAGAGGTTGACGGCCGATGAACCAAATGTTTTAGCTGCCAAATACACAAACTCCTGCAAATATGGCAACATATAACATACATAATATTGTGCTAAAACTTTATGTAGTAGCTGAGAGTCATTCACAACATTTACTCCAAGGGCAAGAACTTAATCACTATCATGTTTGTCTGTTAGCAAAATATCTCATGAACCAGTGGATGAATTTTAATAAAACTTTCAGAAAATATTCACTGGATGGACTTTTACAGATTAATTATCGGTGTCAAGCCAGTTTAAGATGGCTGCTACAACTAATTGACATTACCCTAAACAAAAATGGGTATAACTCCCATCACATTTGCAAATAATGAGCTAAAATCTGGTGTGTTAGTTGAGCATCATACCCAATGCATGCATATTGATCCAGGAGTGTGTTTTGTTGTTGGTGTTGCCTAAAAGCAAGTATTCTCGGTTTGATGCTTTTAATTAATTTTCGGTTATATTATAATTTTTTTCATTAAATTACTCCAATTGATTTTTAATGTTAAGCACTTTGGTAACAGCTGCTGTTTTAAATGTGCTTTATAAATAAAGTTGACTTGTTGTCAACGCTTTCTGATGTGGAAATTGAGGAAATAAACCAAAAAAAAAAAATACTATAAATACAAATAAGTCTAATGAACCATTTGGTCATAAAAAGCAAAAATAAAAAGTAAAATATGTCTAACTAAGCAGCCAATTTTAAGTGAAAACTCATAAATCACAGCTAACAGGTCACCTCTGCCACATAGCAACGCCGACGCGCTCCACAAACGTGATTGGTGGATTATTCACCTCGTGGACTTGTCTCAGCCAATCAGAAACGAGCTTTGAAAAGCAGCGCAATTAAAGCCGCGCTCTGATTGGCTAAAACAAGTCTGCGCAGCTGTGTGGAAGAAGGTATAAAGATTATTCAGAAGTTCGCTTGTCGCAGTGTTTTTGACAAACAACGAGTGTTCTTGAGAAAAGTAGCCGGCTAGTTCGCCTTTATTCACAAACAAACGCATGTGAACTAAATTACGTCTTGTCTACACTTCGCTTTCAAGGTGAGTAATTTATTATTTCGAGGAGTTTGTTACCTGCGTGGATAAAAAAAAAAAAAAAAAGAAGCGTTTTAAGCATCAGGTAGCTGCTTAACTGAGCTGTTTCTTTAAGGAGACGTGCTGCGGTGGATTGATTTAACTTTGGGGATTTTTCTGACAGCTTTTGTCCAAAAGCAGCCCAGAGAAACAGCCGTCATGGTCGCCACGAACAAAATGAAGACGAAAAGCACAGAAGGTCCGGTTGAAAGGAGATATGAGCAGGTGTGCATCGATAAAGGTGAGTTTTCAGTGTGCGTGTGGTGCATGGCAGCTCTGGGTGGGGGTGTCCACATGGTGGGGGGGTGCATTAACAGCCTGCAGGCTACAGGTGAGCCTTCCAGGTGTGGTTCAACTGCTCAACTAAAGGAAACTCAAAGAAACCTCCAGGTTTCCTGCATGGAGCTCACATGGCGACAGTCCTGTCAGTGCTCAGGGTTTCTGAAGCTCCAGTACCTGATTGGTTTTTAGAGTTACGTCATTGAAGCTGATCAACTTTGACCTTTCAGACATTAAAAAAAAAATGCTCAAAGATGAACTGGTTAATGTTAAACTTAATACTAGCAGCCTGTCACAAATATGCAATTTATTCTATATATAGTTTTTATTTCTAAACGTACGCAGTTAAAAGTGTGCATTTCAGGGATTTTGTTTTTAATTTTGTAAAAGTTTTTCTAAAACGTTTTCAGCGTTGGCTGGTGGTTAATACAAGGCCCCGTTTACACGACGTGTATTTTAAGTGCTGTTCCTCTGCGGCTCAGCCGTTCATTTACATGACAACAGCCTCAATCCGGAGGTTTCTGAACCCAGTTCCCAGGAAAAACCCCCCGCAGAGGCGTGAAGAGCACGGAATGCAGTCGTGTAAACGAGGACGCTTTTCCTCAACTCATACGAAAAACTCTTCGTTTCCCCCGGCTGTGTCCGTGTGAAGGGACCAAACTCTTAAAAACGTAAAAAATAGTTTAAAAAATGGCAAATATTCTTTGTTTTTGTATAAAACTAAACTGGTCAGTTATTGTTGGTTTGGATTATCTGCACGAGAGATCCCATCGAACAACTCTGATTTGGTCCAAATGAATGAAGCGCGTTCAAAGGTTCCTTCTTTGTAAGCAGCGATTTTGATGTTTTGATTTCATTCAAAATGTTCCCATGCGTGAAATATTGATCATATTTTGAGAAAATGCAATTATCGGAAAGTTTTCATCAATGTCACAATGTAAACCGACTCCTCCTAACTGAGGCAAAAGAACAAAGAAAAATATTAAGCAGAAAACCTGAAGACCACTTGTGTTAAAGCAGGGGCGCATACAGAAAGTTTTCCATAGAGGGGCCAGATTTGGGGGCCCAATGACAATCTTAAGCTACGTTTACAAAATGTTTTGACCGTATTGAAATGTTTTCAGATTAAATAATTCAAATGTATTGTTTTAATGGGCACAATCTGATCATGACGAGCGTTTACATGCAGCGGGCTTTGTTCTGAACAGAAGTACCGACATGCGCGGAGTGGTAAACTTAAAAACCACAGAAGAAGAAGTTCTACTTCCGGGATGAACGTAAACAAACCTGAGCACCCAAAATGGACCTGCGACAGGTTTTCATGCCGGTGGAGACGTTTCTCCACTCCCTGACTGGTAATTCAGATCATTTGGAGCTCTTTCAAAGTTTCTAGTAGAAATGTTGTCGCTCCCCGACATGCTAATATTATTAGCATTAGCCAGGCGGAAATGACATGGGTCGCACATGCGCAGTCGGGTCAGTTTTTCACCATCGGATCAAAAACAAAACGGATCGAGCGTTTACATGCGCACCGTTCGCGTTATGAATCGTCGTAAACCGCCCGTTTCGTTCTGATCACAAATTATTTCTGATCACGCTGAATAAACCAAAAATAACCCGAACAGGGTGTTTACATGACGCGTTTTTATTCCGAACGGCCGTTTGATCCGGTTACTTATGTCCATGTAAACATGGCTTTAGAGTGACGTACCCTTCGTTCATTCAACCTTTATTTAGACGAGTTGATCCCATTGAGCCTCGGGGACTCATTTACGAGAGAGACCTGATTTTAACAAAGTGATGACGACGATGGACAATCGTAAAAGGAAAACCTGTGTGCGTGTGTGCGCACTGTTCCTTTTACTGTATGCTATTTGAAAAATACAACATTAAGATGGTAAAAGAATACAAAAATAAAAGTACACATTTATCAGAATATTATAATAATAATGTCATCACAATGTCAGCACTGCATGTTTCCATACAATGGCGAAATTAGTCTCTGCATTTAACCCATCCACCACCAGGTGGTGCAGTGGGCAGCAATTGAAAGTGCCCGGGGGACATTAAAGTTAAATACTAATTAATAGGTTGAGTATTGACTGATGATGTTAAAGTTTGTCCTTTTTCAAATTAGTTAATTTAAAAAATGCATATACTGTATTTTTTTTTGCCCAATAAGTTTTTTTTTTTTTTTTTTTTTTTTTTTTTTTTGCATAATTTGCCCTGCAACTTATATGCTGAAGCAACGTCTTTATGGATTTTATTTTCATATTTATAAACCAATTTTTGACGTGACATGGGCTCTTGTCTACCTCCTTTTTTTTGGGGTTCTCAAAATGGCGGACGCTCCGTGTGGTTTGAGCTCTTTAGCGTAGCATTTTTCACACAAAGCTTTTTAATATTAAAAAAAAAAATAGTAAACAAGTTCTCAGCTTCTTTTTGCAGAGAAACTTTTTACACAAAGGCACGGGTTTCAACTGTGAACTTTGGAGCTTCGAAAAAACTGAACGCCCCCCACCCCGAGGTCGGCCTGTTAGCTTAGCTCGTAGCTTAGCTTCTCAGCTTAGCTACTTTTAACGATCCAAAAATGTGATTTTTTTTTTTTTTTTTTTTTTTTTTTTTTTTAATTAATTTATTTATTTTTGGGGGGATCGTTAACTGATTTTAAAGCGGAAGGGAGGGGTCAGTGAAGAGCACTAGAGTTGAGCTTTTTGTCATCCAGTGTCTTCAGTAGAAAGAGACACGAAGAAACGATAAAGCCGATGAATGAAAATGAGGTTGATGATTTATATTATGTGATTAATTGATTTATTTATTGCGACAGGCCTATTTATGACTAAATAGCCATTTTTGTGTTGGCTAATATCACTCAATTGTGGCAGCCATCTTGTATGATCATCAGTTGTGGATGTGCGTCTTGTGACAACTTTCTGCAAGTTTCATCAAACTCCTTCGGAGATATTTCGCTAACACCTTAATGACAAACCTAAATCTTCCCTTCAGTGATGGTCTGCTTCCACGGAAAGAGAGGATGGTGCAACCAGGAGGGATTAATATCTTGTGTACAGTCCTGTTTTATTTTGTAAGCAGGTTCTTTGTCAGTAAAAAGGTTCTGGATCCCTAAAACCTGCGACTTGTTTTCGCAGAGTTGGATTTCTGGGATCGCTGCTTGGCCGAACCCCAGATGACCGCAGACGTAACGGAGGACAGGACGTGTCACCAGCTGGCCAAGATGTTTGAGAACTGCCTGTCGCGGGCCAAGAGGACGACGCTGCACTGCTCCTCCGTGCTGGTACCGGAGAAGCTGACGCGGAGGGTCGCCCGGGAAGTCCTGCGGCTGGCGTCCTGCGAGCCCTGCGGCCTGCGCGGCTGCGTCCTCTACGTCCACCTGGAGCAGGAAAAGGGCTGGAAGCAGCTGGAGCGCATCGCCTACGACTCCTCGGTGGTGCCCACGTTCGAGCTCACGCTGGTGTTCAAGCAGGACGGCACGGCGTGGCCCAGCTTGCGGGACTTCCTGTTTATGGGCTCCTGCTTCGCGCCGGCGTTCAGACACGTACTGAAACTGAGTCCAGGCTATCGACTGGTCAAGAAAAAGCTGTACTCATCCTCGGCTGGTACCGTGATAGAGGAGTGCTGAACTGTTGACGGATCGTCGAGCTACCTGCGGGCTGATGCACTTACGCCTAAACATGGCGCCCAAGTGGTGCCACATTATCTCCGGTGTTTTTGTACTAAAGTTCGGCTGTTGGCCTTTTGGCTCGGGAAGTAAAGTGAAACCTATAAATGAGCTCAGTGTTTCAGGATTTGGCTTCGTTGTCTCTAAAAGTCATTTTGATCATCCTGTTTGTTGAAAGCTCAATTTAAGGGCAATTGTTGCTCAAGCACACTTTTAAAGTTTTGTTTCTTTTTCTTTTGCAAATGAATGTAAGACTGTTCCCAACATGTTTGAGCGGGACTTCCTGTGGGTACACCTCTGTTAAAGCCACGAGCCACTTTAAGATGCGTCTGCGTTCCCAGGTGCATTGAATGTTGAGCAGCCACCACACCTGGGCTTGATTAGGAGACGCCACGCGTGGTCGCGCTGCGACGCCGGTCTGACGGTACGAGCTCGCATCACCGAGGAACGTGAACACCTTCAAATGTCGTGGGGACGGAGCGTTCCGTCGGATCACGGCAATGACTTTTCGTGTGAGTGTTTTATTGTTTTTATTTTTATACCGCCTCCCGCAGATTCACGTTGTCGAAGCAGAACCTTTAAATGGAATTAAAAGTTTGGTTCACCTGATTGTAAAGGCCCGTTTGGTTTTTAATGTTTTCTTTGACTTGTAAAGGAAGCGAGACTAGCGCACGTTTTTATTTCAATGATAAAGGCAACTTTTGTTTTTTTATAAAGAATAAATTCTCATAAATTTAAGTATTTGCTCTGTTTTGTTTTCACTTGCCTCATATCCAGATATAAAAAGCATTAACCCTCCGTAGCTCCGCTTTTGGTCTTCAGGTTCACATTTGAGGGGTTTTCCTTCAAGTTCAGGCTGTTCGGCATCGACTTTCAAGTGTTGCCCAGTGCAATATATATATTTTTAGTTTGCAAATGGAAAAACCTGGACTGGTCAGGTCTAGTTTAGTTTGGATGCACTTCACATCCAAAGAGCTGGTTGTGTGATTCCAGTGTTTGTGTGGCTTTCCTCGCTGTAATTAACCTCCATAACGACTTTTAAAAGGTCAATGAGACCGAGCCAGGCGAGTTCAATTTGACTCGTGAGGTATTTGTCAAGTCTCGACCCCGTCCTTTCTCTGGTCAGTTTTGGTAAAAAAAAGAAACATTTGACTAAAAACGTCACTGTCGTAATGATTTAAAGTTGTGTGTAGAAGTGTAACCAGATATACAGGGATCTTGACACGGGTGTGTCAGGTCGGTGGAAGGATCACATGATGCGTCCGTCAGGTGTGATGTCAGGACAAGGCAGCGCTGATCTTTCTGTCCCCCAGAACGCCCTGGTTAAACTTCATACGACGTGAGACATCGAAACTTGCTGACGTGATTGTGAGACGATCTTTTCCGTATGGACAGTTTATACTTGAGGAGTTTCCCCTCAAGTCCTCCCACTGTAGCGCACGTCACGCCTAAACAAACATGGCTGGTAGACTATTTTCAGGTGATGTTGGAGGAGAAATACCTGGTATTTCTGTTAACTGAGCGTTGCTATTTTGTAAATTTGTCATGTATAGACCATCGTTTGAGTCAAGTGTACTGGACCTGTGCTTTCCAGTTGACGCGCACTCCTTCCTGGTCAGCACAGCCTTCCTCGGGTTCTTTTACTATATAGGTTTAGCTGGAACGTTTGCAAAGATGGATGTACTTTACAGCTTTGTCCAGAAATAAGAGTACTGCAGCCACTTTCCATAAACACGCCTACAAAGTTCTGACCAATCACACAATACTTGGCCCATACCCTGCAAGAAACGAGCTGTGACGGGACCAAGCACGAGACGGGGTCTCAGTGGGGAACGCAAAAAGAGAGAGACCCAATTTTTCATCACACAAGACATGACAAAATTTCAGCACTTCTCTTGGAGTATAAACCAGACTTTAACGTGGGTCAGAAATACTCCATTAAATTGGTGTTTATGTACAAGACTGAAATATATTTTAACCCTATCCTTCAGTTATTCAGAGCATCAATATGTCAAATCATTCTGCTGCCGGAAAGGACACTTTTTGAACTGGGTTCCTCTGAAAAAAGTTGGTAGGGATGTCCTCTCCGTACATGGTTTTTTCCGGGTACTCCGGTTTCCTCCCACAGACCAAAAACCTGTTAGGCTGATTGGTAACTCTAAATTGTCTCTAGGTGTGAGTGAGAGATTGAACGGTTGTGTCTTGTCTCTGTGTCCCTGTGATGGACTGGAGACCTGTCCAGGGTGTACCTCACCTCTCGCACAATGATGGCTGGACATGGGTTCTGACACAACGTATCTTCAGCCTCATGGAAAAGCGCTGAAGGTCAGTTTATGCTGCTGCTGAAGCACAAAAGAGCTCCACTGTGTGGTTTCAGCAGTCTCATGGTGGATCCAATGGTGGTACTATATAGATCTTCTGTGTCAACATGATTTATCTCAGCCTGCGTGGTATGCGGACGGTGGCATGGCGTGAAAGGTGTGCAATCTGCCACAGTCTTACTGAGATGGTTCACCCAGGCTCTGTGCCTACAGATGTTTACCGGCTCTCTCCGTCCCTCTAGGGGGGGTCAAGGGAGGGCTCAGAGTCACAGGATAGCCCTGTTTGTTTCGGCGTCCTCAGAGGTATGCCGGGCACGAGTCCATGTTTCCTCCTAAACTGCATAACGACCTCCTTCCTGGAAAGTTCGAAATCTGATGAACTTGGCAGAGGAGGTGGATGCATGTCACACTGTGTCTCTGATGATCCGAATGCGTTTCTGTTTACTGCAAGTTTGTGTATGTCAACAAGACTGTTTTCTTTTGTGTTATCATTTTCTCAGTACTTCAGGATTGTATCGCGTATCTTCAGATCTGGTTGTTTGTGTAGTCCTTCACTGAGACAAGAAATTGTTGGCTTTTTGAAGCTAAACCAAGATTGGCTTTCTTAGGAAGACTAACGTCCTGTTGACGTATTTTTTACGATCTGAAACCGTCTTGGTGAATTTTTTTTACACCTCTTTCATTGATAATTCTTGTTTGTGTCTAAATCTTTCCACGTTTCAGTAAACCTAATTTTGATTTGGCCATTTTATACCTCTGTTTTTTTTTATTATTTTTTAGCTACATCCTCACATTGACATCAAGCATTACTGACTTGGTGTTGCTTTTTAATTAAATGATTGAAGTCTGAAGAAACGAGACATGCTAGCAATCTGACAATTTATTAATTTAACAAACGGGGGCCTCAGTAGCATGTGGAAGAACCATACACAGCCACAACGACCAGGCACCTCCTCCTCATGCTGATAAGCAGCTTGGGCCCACACAGCTGAGGGAAGGAATCTCATTCTTCAACCAGGATTTGTTGCAAGTCAGCCAACTTGGTTGAGTTTGGTGTGACGTTCATTCAAGAGTGACCAAGTCGATCCCTCAGCTGTTCAGTGGGGTGGAAGTCAGAGCTGCACCTGTGATACCAGAAGCTCCAAACGAGTCAGTAGCAGAAAAAGTTGGTTGGCAGCGATTTGACAAGTTTTCCATGGGTGCCTCCCACATGTTCCTCTCTGCTGTTTCAAATGTGGCATCATTTAAGGGTGCCATTTGTTACAATAAAGAAATAATTGACCAAACACCATTTTTTTTTACTTTTTGTACTACGTTTACATGAACATGCAGTGTCCATGAATAACCCCCCATAAAACATAGGTCATGTGCACGTTTGGCAGCACTGACGGGAGCTCCACTTTGACTCACTCTTTTTTTGTTCCTGCCGTTTTAACTTTTTTTGTGCCTACACTTTGCACCCACGCTACGGGTATGACTGCGATACTTTTGGAGTTTTCTGTGTCGCTGCCTTATCGTGGTTCAGTTCCTGGCCCCCTTCCAGCCTCGGGTTAAGGCTCCAGCCTGTCATGGAGGCCGTCTCCATGATCCTCCATCTGTCTGCACGGATTGAACTTTACGGAACAATTCGGTTCTGCGGGGAAAACCTTGGATGTTATGTGTTTGCCGGACCTAGTTCTGGAGGACAGTCATTGTCTTGTCTCGGTTGTTATTATCATCATGCTGCTAACAGGACTGCGCAGCTAACAAGACCACACCGCTAACAGTACCATGCTAAAAGAACCACACTGCCAACAGAACCACACTGCTAATAGGACCATGTTGCTAATGGAACCACACTGCTAACAGTACAATGGTGCTAACGGGACCATGTTGCT